TTACATTCTGAACTCACAACTCCTTCAGCTCCAATGGCATGGTTGATTTCAGCCACGACCGACTGAAATTGAAAAGTAGTTGACGAAAATTATGAAAGAAAAGCTATAAGCAGAAAATTTTCAGAGAGGCGAAAACACATACGGTTGGACCAGCAAGCAAAGATGTTCCTGAATCCACAATAGCAGCACATCCACCCTCGCAAACACCTTAAGGATTATAATATATGGTCATTGTAATCAAGGAGAATGGTGACAAACAAAAATTGTAGCAAAGGAATACAAGTTCTCAATCAAATAAGATTTCACTAATTTTCTTCTTCAATTAAGGTCTGGGGAAAATAAAATCTCATACTTTTCTTTGCATCATATGATTCCATACAAAAATTTCGTCTGGTTGAAAAATAAAACAATGTCTTTACCTGTTGATAAACCTCCAATGAGAAAATCTCCTATTTCAATCTGAAAAGACCACAAATTCGTGTTCAAATTTTCTGGATTTTTCCTTTTTACAGTTTAAATGGAATTCCTGGTCAAACAGACTATAGTTTTGCATTTGCTTACCTGCCAGTAACCTTTTCTAGTAATTGGGACATAAGTATGTTTTCCTTTGAAATGATTACGGTCAATTCCTCCAAATATAATTTCACCACCCTCTTCTGCCTCCGGATCCACATTGAGCCAAAAAGAGAACACCTTCTCGCCAACAAGATCTTGATCCACCATATTGTACCTATGATTTGATAGGGGACCGGTAAATTCAGGAAACTAACCCAAAGGTACTAGTAAAAAAATCATGCTTTAACAATACCAAGAAAATTAGATGCAAAGGAAAAACCAAAAAACAAGCTGAACTATACCAAACTGGTACTGCTTTCTCAACTGAGATTTCCTGAAACCCAAGTCCAAGTATCCCATCAAACTTGGCGAATGCAAAGGAAAGACTTTTCTCTCGAGTAGCCTCAATGAAATCCTGCATCGAACAGGTTAACATGCGAGCCTTGCTGAAACCCAAGCCTAAGTATTGCCACAGATTCTGAGCATAATAAATTATATTTTCAAGTGGAAACTTATAAAGAAAGTGCTCACTTGATGCTTTACAACCACATCACCAACTTTAACGTCATCTTGACTGAAAAAACCAGATAATGATCCAGACCCATATTGTATTTCACATGATGTTCCTGAGTGACAAGTTAATATGAATGGTTTAAAATTTCAAACTTCTTCTCAAAGGCCATGTACAATGCCAACTTACTGCTTCCATAATAATATCTAGCATAATCAGTAACACCAGTTATGAGAAACTGGCATTAATACAGTAACGTTACCATTCTCAGTGTATGTACTGGATTTGCTGGACTTGTACCAAGAATGGACATAACAAGCAATCTGCACATGAATATTATTGGTTAATGAAATACTCACATGATATAGTTATGGATTATGGATACTAATACCAGGATGGACATGAACTTACTGAGAAATAGCACCATGATGAAGGAACCCAAAGGTTGGAACTACCAGTATCAAATATGACAGTGAAGGTCTGCGCGGGTGTGCCTATTCCAATCTCTCCAAAATATTGTGCATCCATATAATTTTTCAGAGGTAGTATATCTTCATCATGTGAATTACTGATATACTGGTATGAATCCTTCACTGGTCTTCCTGGTCTCAGTGCTTCCCTTGCAGCTCTGGCAGCTCGAATGCTTTGAAGGTCAAGAGGTCTCTTCTTCAAACTAGTTCTTAAAATCCCAGAAGAGAAAGAAGGAAGAAGTGAGCATGTTAAAGCCCATAAACAGAAAGCTATCCACAGATGCTTGGAGCTCATAATGAAGAGAAACCCTGCCAGAAAGGAGAATCAGAAAGTTAGATGAGCAAAATCAAAGGTCAAGAAACCATGAAAGGGGGGTAACTTTGTAGCAATTAATAAGTTTTTTACAAACTGTTCTCCGCACTCCGATAATAACATATAAATAAACACAAACAGATAGATGGATAGGTGTACAAAGAGACAAAGAACTATTCTCTGCCCCCATTCGAATATGCCGTTATTCAAGCAATTGATAGTCCAAGGAAAAGCAGGACTGATCCAATGTCATTTCTTATAGTGATCAAGAACTCTACAGGGTCCTTACACTATACTCCTCCGTTTAAAAATGTAATACATTTTTAATCGAATTTCACCCCTCAATAAAGTAGTTATTTTCAAACTAACCTTATCTTTCCATATCTATCCCTATTAAATACCCTACAATAAATATAAAATCACTATCAATAGGGGTACTTAAAAAAAAAAAGTAACAATTACACCTTGAAAGACTAAAAATACTTTATATTCTTGAACATTCAACCCCTCAACAAATGCTTTACATATTTTATGGGAAAGAGTACTAATTGATACTAACCTGGAAATTAGAGAAAAATTAGAAGAATCCTACACCATCAGCTCTGGATATTAATTTCCTCATATTCCGCCATTCGTCCCTTCTGTTTTACAGTCGATTTATGTTTTTCCACCCCGCTAAAGTCATTTTACACCTGTTTAATCCTCGTAGGCAAAGCTACGAGGAGAATAACAGCTGTTTTTTTTGTAAACAGTGTCAGTCAATTCACCCCCCCTTTTTTGCGACGCAGTTCATGCTACTCTTATCAGAAAATAACAAACACTTGCCAAATTAAACTGCGTATAACAAACACTACAAATCAAGATATATAATATTCAAATAGCTACATCCAGAAGAACAAAAAAATTTATACAGGAACGAGAAACAAACCAAATTTTCAAGACAGATAAAGTCAACAGAAATTCAGACAGAAAAGAGAAGCTATTAAAGGAGAAACATGAACTTAGTTGAAGTCACTGGGATGACCATAATCATATGATTAAGATGATAAATATTTTGGAAAAGAAAGGCGGGGAAAAGAAACCTTCTAAGGTAGATGTCACTGCAGATGGCAGATGCTGCTGCGGAAGCTGGAACGTTGAGACTCCACTCTAGAGGAGCCAACTGCCGACTGGCCCAGTCGAAGAAGCAAGAAGGCCGATAAGAGGTCCCACCTCGACAAAGTAAAGAAAGGAAGAAACATATTTTGTCCGATATGGTATTTATTTCTGCTTATAAAATATTTTCAACGTATTTTAGTAAAATTAAAAAAATTTAAAATTAATTAATTTTATTTAAAAATTTAATTATATTTTAAATTTATTTTTATTAAGTATATATTTTAAAAATATATCCAAAAGAATATTGAGATTATGATTTGTGAATACTTACAAAATTATAAAATAAGTTAACATATACTTTTAATTCTCTAATTATATATAAAATTTTAATTTAATTTTTAAATTTTATAAAATATTTTTTAATCCTTTAATCTTAACATTAGTTTTAAATAATTATTTTTTATGCCTAATTATTTTATTTTAAAATATAAACTTGATATGTTAATATTTAAACTTTTTTTATTAATATTTAAAAATTTAATATCAAAATTTATTAAAATAAAATTAACAGTGTGTTAGGATTAAATAATTAAAAACACATTTTATAAAATTAAAATAAAATATTAAATAAAATTAAAAAAATTAAATATATACCGAAACAAAATATCAACACGACAGATTAGAGGGGCGCTGCTCTTTTTCCAACTCGCGCAAGTAAATGATGTCATTGAACTCGGGTCCGAAATAAAATGATGTCAGGTCCAAAATAAAATGATGTCATTGGCGTGGATATTTGAACTATTTGGTTGAGACTATAGTTATATTATAAATACTTCTTTTATTTAAAATATAAATATTTTTAATTAAATTTTATTTTTAATAAAATAATTACTTATTTTTTAATTAATTTTATCTTTTTATATTTATTTTTATCAAATACTCTATAATAAATATAAAGTCACTATTAATAGAAACACTTTTTAAAAAAAGGCAATAATTACATCTCAAAAAATTAAAATTTTTTATAATTTTTAACATTTAACTCCTCAAAAAATATCTTATATTTTTAAATAGAGAAATATAAATTATCACATGTGTTGCTCAAGAAGGAAAAAAATAGTACATTTTTTTCTAAATTTTATATTATAATCCTTTAATTTTAAATTATAAAAAAATTTAGACAAGATTAGATATATTAATAAAATAAAATAATGACATTTAACGAACTTACTTTTAAAATTAAAAAATTATAAATTTTTAAAAATATTTCTACACATTGAACAGTAGCCATAGTACCATTTTGATTCTTTTTTAATCTAAAGGATAATATTAAAAAATTTATTAATAAAATTATATTTTTTTAAATTACCTTATGTTTTAAAATAAAAATTCTGTTAGAATTATCTTATAATTTAAAAAGTACTGCATAAAGCATTATTATATAGATTGCGTCATTGACATGAAAGAGAACATGGTTTTTTAATCAAGTTGTATGAGAAAGACGGTATTTTTTAACGCCTATGATTGATTAATTTCAGAACGTAGTAGTAAATTTAAAATTTCCTAGTTGAACCAAGCGGAAAGTGATAAAGCTCTCACCCTCACGCAACTAGGAACCAGCCTTGCTTGAAGTTAACGTATATCCTTCCAATAATTTTTTTTTTTTTTTGGCCGTTCCTTTCCCTTTCTTTCCCTTCCCCCCCTGCATTCACCCCTTTTTTCATGACAACTTTTAGCATGGAGCACTTGATCCCAAGGATTGCTCCTAAAATATAATAGACAATATCAATAACAAATGTAAAATTTATAACAAATCGTACGATTTAATAATGCTTTAGTGAACATTAAGTTCTCAAGTCTCGTCTCAATCTGAACTATTTGATAATAATTGTTGTTGTCGTTCTTCAAAAACAGCAAACTCAGTACAAGTCAGTTAACCCCTTGGGTTAAGAAGGACCAAACTTCCCTAGCTCACCCGTGCAATATTAACACACCGGGTGTGTTATTTTTCTTTTCCCCAGGTGCCAATACAAATAGATGAACGTTCCCCGTGTTAATTCCCAATTATTGTTTTCTATAAACTGAGTAATACTGTTTATTTACAAGCTCTCTGCATGAATTACAATCATCATAAACCTGGTACGTTGATTAAGTGCTAGGTGCTGTTGTGAATACAAGGGCCATTCCAGTCAAAGCATACATAATAATACTTCCACGAGGATATTTTCAAGTTTCATCCTAAGTATATCCTCCATACAGAAACCCAAGCCATGGCAAGTAGGCGTACATACTTCACTGCATCTTATTTACATTACACTCTCAAGCTTCTTAAGATTTTCTTGACATAATCTTCCACGATTCGCATCAGGCAGCTTCAGCAAAACCTAGTTCTAGATTGCCATAGTCAAATACTGTATGGTATACCCTCATGAAAATGTCGCCCAGAATCCTGCATCACATACATTTTATTTTAAAAAAAAATCCAAATCTTCAAAATTCTGGACATTACATGCGTAATTATAAATTGATGGGCATAATTACAAGGTAATATACCAGAGGGGACCCCGTGGGGGAGGAAAATCAAATGCCAAAACCGCTAATGCAAACTTCTGCAAGGCCCTCTCCAGTTTTCAGAATATACTGAAAATTGATACAGCCAAAGTATCCTTAGCATCAATGTACAGAATATCACATCATAATTAATAGTGATTCGGTTTCGGAATATCAACAGCAAACCTGCTCTGGGGTGAGGTCGAAAAGTTTTTCTCCAATAGTAAGTGTAATGTTTGGCATTTGAGATAGACTATCACAGCTTATTGTGGACTCTCCGGCTGGACTTGGCAGTCTCTCACATAACTGACAGTTGTTACCAGAACCGATAATCAATGCACCATAAACAAATTATACAACGCCTGGTTTTCAGGAAAGGTTGGCTCAAAAAGATCACCTGATATATGTAGTTAAATACTTTTTCCTTGTCGACTTTTCGTTTTAACTGATTCTGTATCCAAATCACAGCCATCTCACAAAAAGTACACAAAGCATCTTCTCTAGCGGATAACCGTCTCTACGCTCCTTTTCAGTAACCATCTCAATCCCAGCACTGCATGCCATGGGATCAAAAATCACTTCAGAAGCCTATTTAAGCTAAACTCTGAGACAGTGTCAACAGCTGAGAATGAATAATTATGTGCGCTATGAAAATGAAACACAATGAACTGACCTCTTAGATTGTTTCCCATATGCAGAACATAAACCAAGTTGTGTGCATACTTCATCAGGCCGTACCTGCAAATTATGGTCATTTATATTTAGGTCCAAGAACAAAATTTGGAAAGCCCAAACACAAAATCTGAAATGGAAGGTCGGAAAATCTACCCCTGATACTAAGAGCTCCCATATCAACTCTCCATATTGAGATACAACTTCCTTACATTCTGAACTCACAATTCCCTCAGCTCCAATGGCATGGTTGATTTCAGTCACAACAGACTGAAATTGCAAGCCAATTAGCAGGAGTTATAAGATCAGAGCTACAAATGTTAAATTTCAAAAGGATGGAAGCACATACAGTGGGACCAGCAAGCAAGGATGTTCCGGAATCAACTACAGCAGCACACCCACCCTTACAAACACCTAATAATTTTCAGAATTAGCTTGGTAAAAAGATAGTTGTAATTTGTAAAGATATACTACAGTCACTGAATCACCCCTGAAAAACTTCACGGTAAATACCCCAAAGAGAATTTCGACAGCTAAGGAATAATGAAATTACCTGTTGACTGACCTCCAATGAGAAAATCACCCATTTCAAACTGAAAAAATATTCTTGTTAATTACTGGGAGTAGATTTAACTATCTAAAATGAATTCCTTATAAATGTATTGTATGCATTTGCTAACCTGCCAATAACCCTTTTTAGTAACGGGAACATAAGTATGTTTTCCCTTGAAGTGATTTGGATCAACACCTCCAAAAACTAATTCACCACCCTCTTCTGCATCTGGATCCCCATTTAGCCAAAAAGAGAATACCTGCTCACTAACAAGATCTTGCTCCACCATATTATACCTGCAATTTTACAATAGATCAGGAAATTACGGACAATGCAAACAAAAGGTGAAAGCAGGAGAAAAAGGGGCAGGCCAAACAATACCATACTGGAACAGCTTTTTCAACAGAGATCTCCTGAAACCCAAGCCCAAATATTCCATCAAACTTAGCTAATACAAATGAAAGACTTCCTTCTCGGGTTGTCTCGATGAAATCCTGCAGTTAGGATTAACATGGTAATAAAATCAAGTATTGCCGCAGATAGGGGACAAACTATAGTTTATATTGAAATGAAGCTCAAATTGAGAAGTACTCACTTGATCCTTGACAACCGACATCACCAACTTTAACGTTATCTTGACTGAAGAAACCAGATATAGATCCAGATCCATAGGTTATTTGACATGACGTTCCTGATTGACACAATGATAGGCATAATTGGAACAATAATTAAAAGGCATATAGTATTTACTGCTTGCCTGATTGGCGATTGCAACTACCACCATGATAAACACGAATGATGAGAAACTGTGATAAATCTGTTGGCCTTACCATTCTTGCTATATGTACTTGATTTCTTTGATTTGTACCGAGAATGGAAATAGCATGCAATCTGCAAGTAAATATTAGTCAAGAAACGATTGTTATATAGTAAAGTTACGGAGGTCAAGAGGTTAAGCTGAACTTACAGAAAAGTAGCACTTTGATGATGGAATCCACAAGTTGGAACTACCGGTATCAAATATGACAGTGAAAGTCTGTGGGGGTGTGCCAATTCCGATCTCTCCATAATATTGCGCATCTAAATAATTCTTCAGAGGTACTATATCCTCGTCTGAACTACCAATATAGTGAAATGCACCCTTCACTGGTCTGCCAGGTTTTAGCTGTTCTCTTATAGTTCTAGCAGCTTTGATGCCCTGAAGATCTAGATGCCTCTTCTTCAAACCAATTCTGAGAAGCCCAGAAGAAGAAGAAGGAAGAAGTGAGCATGTTAAAGCCCATAAACAGAAAGCCACCCACAAATGCTTTCGCCCCATAATTTAGGGAAGCCTGTCATAAAGGAAGGAGAAAGATGAGATAAGTGCACCTTCTTCTTCCTCAATCCAGTGGGATTGAACATGGCATTGATAAACAAGACACTAACCAGAAGACTGAACCCACCATCAGAATAACAGACGAACAGATATGCAATCAAAAAAGTAGTGAAATAGGCCATTAGAGCTTGAATATAATCAGTCTTATAACCGTGTAGGTTTGGCTTTCGATAAAAACACCAAAAGCTAAGGACTATAATAACCCCACTTCAGGTTTGACAGAAGGGGCGGGAAGAAGATGCTAACATATTCATCTACGAACTCTATAACCAGCCTAGGGAACGAAATTCAAGCTAGGATTTATCCCAGGTCTATTCTTAATCAATAATCCAACATCCAAGAGGATTACAATACAGGATTATTTTGGGGAGAAACCAGAAATTTAAAAGTGAGGAGCACTTCTTGCTATCCTGCTTCTACCCAGTCCACTTCATCCCAATTGTTGTGTGTGTGTGTGTGTGTGTGTGTGTGTGTATAATATTTCCCTTGTTACACTCGTTTTAAGGCATAAAGACTGAGCATGCGGAAGAACCGGCGAGTCTATCTATCTATTTATTTATTTGGCCAAAGGCTAATCTATTTATTTATTGACTTGGGGAAACAGAAACAGCTGACTCTACTTTTATCTCCCCTTGGGCAAGATATTATAATAAAAACAACGAAAACTAAAAGCAGCAGAAGGCAAATAGCAAAACCACTAACCAGATAACAAAGTAAAACATATTCAGAACACGCAAGATTCTGAGGGAATCCAGACAGAACAGAAAAGATAGACAGGAGAAAGATCAGCCGGATCATCGTGTGAGCAAAAAGCAAGGATAGATAGTAACTAGGAAAAATCAAACCTGAGTAACTAGTTGGCAACTGTAGACGCTACGCTGCCTGCCTCTGACGCTGAAATCGCGAAGAGCAGAGAAGAGAGTTGGACCCTATATGATTCTTATATCCAGGATTGGTTTCAGCTTTGTAAGGCTCCAATTAATTATGATTTCCTTTGCACGTCAAAACTAGATTGACAAACCACGAAATTAAAGAGACTCCTTTTTTTTTTTTTTACCAGAGAGAGAGAGAGAGAGACTCCTTTATTTTCCTGGCGCCTGTTGGCTGTTGCGTTTCAGTCCTTGCTGAAAAATTTCTTTTCTTTCGCTGGATCATCACACTTATGGGTGGACAAAAGCCATGAGAAGATTTTAAATTAAAAAAAAAAAAAAAACAGCGCAAAAAGGTAACTTTCATTTTCCTCCTCCACCCCTAGCCACCCAAGTAATTAGCGGAGAACCGAGAGTGGGCGGAATTTATTAATTTTACATCCTTGATGAAACTACCAGGAACCTTCGCATCCGAGTCCCACAATTTGTTTCCCGGAATTATATTAATCCATTTCGAAGATTACAAATCCTTCCAAATCATTAATTTCAACTGGAGTTGTATTAGTACGTCACAACTAAATTGTTTCGTAAAACGCGAAAGATCATTTCAATTTCTTATTTAGAAAAGGACTAAAATATATAGGAAGAATTATGTTGACATCCTAAAAAAAATAATTATTATAAAATTTATTAACAATTAAACTAAGATCATTAATATATATAATATTTTTCAACTTTCAGCCAGCATATTTCCTCCTTAAAATTTCAAAGCTGGTAATTACTACCCTCAATTTTCTTTAACATCACCTTCCAACCAAAAACTTTTCAGGATTGATATCTCAGATATCTCAATAACTGAAATGGGCATGTCATATTAGTTCGGACACATGGCATTATATATGGAATATATGTTATGTTTATATATTTTCCTATATATAAATTTAGCAAAGGTGCAAAATGTCATTCTCACATTTCGGCCACCTCCTCATCCCGTCGTCCCCCGGGCAAAGATAAAAACCAACAATGAAAGAGCAATGAAGTGTGGATCCTCCATTTTGCAGAAATTGTGGTTTATTTAGAGAAGTAATCTTTTTAATACCATTAAAAACTATTACGAAATTAAAATTAATCTTCAATTTTAGATTGTGCTTTAGTAACATAGAATGAAAGAGAATGGGGCTTTTCCTAAATTGCCTCTTATAGTGCTCTCTCGATCTGTTCAGCACATATTTTTGTGCTGCTCGTAGAATCATGATAGAAAAATTGCTGGCGGAGATCGCATATGACAGTGATGAAAAAAGATTACACCGTTTGGTTTTTTTCAACTTTTTTACTTTCAGAAAATGTTTCTGCATATAAAGTAAAAAGTTATTTGAATTTAAAAACTTTGTCCAGATTAACTTTTCAAAAGCACATCAGTAATATAAATGAAAGTAAATTTGGTGATTATAAAATGTTAGAATTTTTAAAAGTGAATTTGAGTATTTGAATTTATGTAACCATACCACCCCATGTTTAATTTATTATTTTTTGCTTAAAAAATCCTGTTAATTAATTAAAAATATAATTGTTAATAAAATAATATAATTAGAGATCAAATTTTTAGCATTAGAGACTAAACAATCAATCATGTTAATTTTTAACATTAATATATATCGAACTATTTATATAATTTTTGTCCAATATATCAAATTTTTATATTTTATATTTTTATTTTTAAAAAATATGTTATTTAAAATTTTTATCAGATATATTTTAAAGATGAAAATATGATTAGCCCTAATGATGATACTCATAGAGAGATTAATACAATTCGTAATTCAATTATAAATCAAATTGTACATTATAGATCGAACAATTAATTATATTAATTTTTAATATTAATACATGTTTAACTATTTATTATATAATTCTTTTCAATATATCAATTTTTATATTTTTTGTTATTATTTAACATATCAAATGTCATGTTATTTAAAATTTCATAACGTTTTTTGACATTTCTAATTTTAATATATTACATTTGTATAATAAAAATTATAAATCATTATAAATCAATATTTTTTTATAATTATACATTAAAGGTACATTTCACTATATATAATCTAAATAATTTTTAATTTGTTAAATTAACTTTTAAAAAATATATTCAAACACAAATTTTACTATAACAATTACTTCTAGTAAACTAATTTTTGTCAAATGAATTTTTTACAAATGAACTTTTAGCCAGCTAAAAATCAAACACGTATTAGGGCAACTAAGTTATGCACAAAGATAATAACATTTTTGTCCTTCACTCAACTTGCTTGCAAAAAATTATACATGATACGAATATGATATATAAGATGCCATCTATTTTTCATCAACGTGATGCGGCAAATCCTGTTAGGGAGATAACGAAGATAATAATGGCAAGGTGTTTGTGGTAAAGTATTAAAGTTCAAGGGAGTTGATCATCAATTTTGAAACATTAAGGAGGTTATTTGCAATTGGTCTAAGGGAAATTATTTATATTCCACCCTTAGAAAAATACAAAGAATATCATGTTTTTCAGTTTTTGTTCTTGGGTCATGTGTCTAATTTTGTTCAAGTCATATTGAAATTTAAAAAAACTCTCACTTCATAAAAAACAGTGTAAGGCACATTGGAGTAGGAGTATAGAACACTGAAGGCAATCAAAAGGTTCCGAATCCTCTTTGTGGCCAATTTATCCATGTCCTTACACGGCAGACTAATCATGATCGTTTGCTTGATCTAAGAGCTCCAAAATTTGTCACGTGAGATTGATCATAAAGGTTAACATGAACCATCCATTAAATGCTCCAATTTTGGTCGATCCCTATCATTCGAGCGGAGGAGGAAATCGCAGAGTTTCTCCTCACCACCGCACGGCTTTTCTGCTAGGACCATCGTCGTGTCCTGTCAAGGAGGAAGAGAATATCCCGTTGCTTTGCATGTTCGGGTTTCCCACTCTTATCGCTTACTACTCAAATAATCTAATTCATCTTCTAGATTTTGTTGATTCTCGACATCTTCCTCTTTGTCAAATAAAATCTCCTATTAGCTTCAGAGAATTTGTACTTGCTCTTTCTACCTTGATTGTTGCTTGGTAATTGAAGCTGTTTGTGTTTTGCTAAGTTTTACCCCTTTGTGCGTGGACATTTTTATTCCTGTGTCATTATCATTTGCTTCTGTGACAATTTTTACTAAAATTTTGCCTTAGATCATAAATGAATTGTTTTGCTCTGTTTGTTTTCTGTATAATGGCTTTAGCCCAGGCTTGTGGTGTTGCTGTACAATCTATTGTAACTGTTGTTGGTAAAGGAGATATCCAAGTATTAACAGTCAATCAAATCTACTCACTTTCACTTATACATTTTCACCATCCTCAGTTTCCCCACGTCTTTTGATTTCTGCAGTGTTTATAATATATATATATATATATATATATAATGTTGTAGGTTATAGGACATTAAAATTTATTGCTGGTACGTGAATCTAATGTAAAATTAAAGGATATAGTAAGTATCATTATAGGAGGTTGAAATTGATAACGAGCATGGAATCTAACTTTATTATTTTCCCATTGCTCTTGTTGATCTAATACTATTGTCGGATTAAAATTTTCAATATGCTTGTTATATTACCTCTTCAATACCATTTTGATTCCTGTCCTGTGCACAAAGTTTGAAATTTTTGGTCAGTCAGACATTTCAAGTGCTAACATTATCATCAGATGACATAATTGTTAGTATCTTTGTGTGTTTTGAAGCTTAGGATCTGCTTACATTTCATTACCCCTAATATCACATATCACACCATCTCTTGCATCTCTAGTCCATGATGTTAGAAATTGATTTATTAAATAAATTGAGGGTAATAAATATTTATTAGCATTGATTTGAATTTCATGTCATTATTTCATAGTGATTGGGATTTAGCGGATAATTATCTGAGGAAAGAAAATTTACCTAGATGATTAAATTTTAAGGACATAGTATTAAATCATAATCTCTAGAAAAGGAGAAAAATTAATATTAGTTAAATGGAATCAAGTAAAATTTTGAATTAATTCCCACTTGAGAGACCATAATTATTTAAATATTATGAAAGTTTATATTTGAAGAAAATATAGGAATTAAATTTATTTGGTTGAATTTTATGAAAGCCTTAAAAAATTATAAAATATTGCAGAATATATTTTGAGGATTTATGAGATTATACAAGATTGTTAGGATAAATGAGGAAAAGTAAGTGCGCATGTGTGTAGAGAGGGAGAGAGAGAGATGAAAAGACATGAAGAATAAAAAAGAAGGGGGTTTTGGGTGTTCTTGTTTTTGTAGTTTAAAAGGTAGTGGGACCCACAGTCATGGGCGGTATTCAAAATGCACCTCCAGAACTTAAGAAAATTTACAAGAAGAGTTAATATATTTTAATATTTTACACCTTTTAGTTTAAATATTTTACATTCTTTAATCGAACTTTAAAAATATTTTAGTTTTAAAAAAATTTATGCCCTCTTAAAGTTATACATAATATTATTAATTACTACAACAATGAAATAAAAAGGCTTTTCTATTATGAAATTTATAAAAATTAACTACAGAATATATAGAAGATTTATTGATGAATAATTATTTAATGATTTATATTAAAAAAATATATTTCTTTTAACATTGATAATGAGATGATTCCTTCACAATTCCATACCATGAAGCCACGTGAGGTACAATACTTTTATTAAATTATTAATTTTAAAATGGTTGAAATGACCCAAGTTCTTGGTACTGCCACTGCCCACAATCATATAATATCACCACTTACACACCCAAGCAATAACATTTTTTGCAAATATGTTTCAAGGAGAAATGATACAATTGCCCTTAATAAGAAAAGGTAACAAGTACAAGCTTAATTTTTTATGATAATATGTTCACAAATTTATAACTTTAAATTCATTTATTAACAAATAATTGTTTGTTAGAGGTGAAATTTTTATTTAGAGCTGACATATTTATCTTAGACAACTTAATAAAGTTACTGCTTAAAATTTAAATATTTACAAATGTATGTTCATTTATTTATAAGTCAAAGTCCATAATTTTTAACTTTATATATTCAAAATTAAAATTTATCATAATAGCAATTTTAAATTTTTACAAATTTATGCTGCCAATTCACAACTTTAAATTCACATATGAATAAGTAATCAGCCATCGATAATGAAATTATTGTTCAAGGTTGACAAATTTCTTTTAACCAACTTAATAAATTTACAACTTAAAATTTGATTATTTACAAGTACATATTCATCTACTCATAAATGATTTCATTTA